CCCCAAAACCCCAAAACCCCAAAACCCCACTTATCGAAATCAATAATATGCTTTGACTCTTCAAAAATAAATAAATATTACAAAAGCAAGCAAATAATTCCTCATAGAAGAAATGTACTCCATACTTTCAGCACTTGCATAAAATATCGTGTTTACCTTATAAATTTAAGTATCATAGCTAGGTATAATCGTGCTTAGGCAGCTTTTGTTCTAGAAAGTTGATTCAATAGGTGCTCTATATTTCCAATTTTTCCATTGGTCATAGAATTACTCAAACTAATCATCAGGTAAATTTGTACATTGGTAAATCTAAAACAAATCTAAGTATAAGGGATCATCAAGTATTAGATTAGAGTGACATCTAGGGGAGTAGAGATACAATTAATAGGCTGACTAATAGAACAGCTAATGGGCTTGCTATCCAGGCCATTAGCAATATCCCTCTGATTTATTAAACAAAGAACATTGGCATTTTATTTTAGAAGTATCTATTGTTGTTTGAGAGGTCAAAGCAATATTAAATTTGGTGATGCAATATCCATTTCCATATTCAGGATCACAAGGCCAAGGACTGTATTCCTAGATATCGCTTATCTAATACACATTAGAGATACCAGAGCACCTTCCATCATTTATGGTATTATTCAAGCATACTCTTTAATCAGCTGCTGCCTTTCCATCCTAAAGCTGCCATCTTTCAGTGCAGTATTTATATTAGCTTTCAGTTCCATTGATATTTAGGTAAGGTATGCATATTTGATGATTGAGACATTACTTATCGTTTTAACAAGCATCACCTAACTTTTTCTTCAAGATGCAAACTTTGTATTTTGTTTGACCATTCTAAAATTTATTGCAGAAATATCCAGCATGGCAATCTGTTTCTGTCAAGCAAGGATCTCCACCATAGCCTCCTATGCACTTTCCATATAGACATCTATTACTTGTACACTAAAAGTCTTCTTAGCAAGGCTAGCCGGGCAACATATCTTTTAAGATTCCATATTTGCCAACGCAAAATCCATATTACTCACTCTATTTATAATCGATTTTCTTAGACTCGTCAAGCTGGAATCCCTCATTTTAAACTTAAAAGCCTGACCCAGATTACTAAGAAAATTAGCAGTACTAAGTTTCAGAGTTCTGACACTCCCACATATTGATTGTTACATTATTTTGCACACCCAAATCATGATGATAGCATAATTTCTATCTGTAGTCTTTGTATAGATATGATATCTTGTTATAATCATATTAGTTGCATTTAACTTCAGGACAATGCAAAGGTCATCCTAATACTGTATAAAATAGTATTGCCTTGACCAATACTAGCATTTTTATGTTTGATTTAACTTCTATCATTACTTTTTTATTATAATATATTATTAAAATTAAATGTATATTTTCTCACAAACAGTTGAATAAGTCTTTGAGGAGGGATAATTGCAAGATTAGCTAGTTTTATTAAGTGATGCCTAAGATGAGTTAATCATAAAAGAAAGCAAAAGAAAAACACAAGGTATGCAACTAATTCTAGGATTAAAGGAAAAGATATTCTAGTTGTACTGGAGAAAACCAGATAATAAATTGACCCTCATTAGCAGATATTTTGAAAAAGATTATTTACCGAATTCTACTTTAAATTGGAAATCGAATCAAGATTATATCCTTGCATAGATTGGAAGTCAAATGCTCCTTATTGATAAAGCCTAGATGAAAAGTTATAACATGATTCTAAATGAGTTTTACAGCAATCTATACATAGCTAACATATATCAAGATTTTTAAAACTAACATTAAGTAATGTTAGTTTTTACTAATGGAAAAATGCTAATAATTGACTTCAATAAGAAGAGATTAATCCCTAATCCCTACTCTATAAAAATAGAAAGCTATCTGATTAATTCATCCAATATCTTACTATCCTATTTTGAAATTAAAAATAAGCTGTACTTGATTGAGGGCAACTATAGACAAATTGTGATGATTGATATTATCTTAAAAACGTAGAAATTGATACATTTTCATGATGTCATTACATAGATACTTTTTATTAATGAGACTCGACTTATCTTTCAAGATTCTTATCAAGTATATTTTGAACTTAAATAAACTACAGATGAATACATATCTAACTTGAAAAGCTAAATACAAAGAAATCAAAGCAAGGATTAGAATAATTAAACTGCACAAAAATACATGGATTATGTCAATAAATTTTCACTGCTCTCAAGCATTCAATGCTCGTAACCAGTATTCTCAATTACATTGAACAGAACTAAGTATCAGCATTTTCTCTTTAATAAAGACTACTTAACTCAAGACGAGGTATATCTGCTTTTAAATTCTGAATAAGATCTCGCCAAGATCATTGAATCAGACATAAGTAATTTACTAGATAAAGACTAGCAATAACTCTAAACAAAGTAAGATCTTAAGGATAATTGGATGCTGAATTCAGTTTTTAATGATACCAATCAATTCTTGCAAATAGCAATACACTATCTAGATTAGCCTATAATATAAAGATAATAGTAACTCTACTATTTCATTTAGTATTTAATTGACAATCAAGACAATTTGATGAAGTATTTTTAGAAACCTCTCTCTATCAAGACAACTCTGAGAATAATACAAGGTCACTTGAATACTCTCAAATGGGAGTAATATATTTTGGATTCGCTAGGCTTAGAGGATATTAGAGATAAAAAGTAGATTAAATAGCAACAATCAAGAGATTAATAAGATATAATGGCCTTATTTGATTAGAAATAATTTGGATATCCAATACTTATGAGATTTAAGATATCTAATGAGCTTAAAGAATTTGATAAGATTATTTGGTCATTGTATAGAATGGCTGAAGTTAATAGCAAAAAGTTAACATTACATAAATAGCTTGAGGGGATTTTATTAAATATTCTAATGATTATTAAACGAAAATCTTAGGAGACAAACGATGAAATGCTTTTGTTAGACTTGATTCAGAAAATAGTAGAACAAGAAAGTAAATCAAATATAAAACTTTCTAATAAGGCTTTGAGATTCGACATAAATTGATATTAATTTAAGTTTAATTCAAACTTATCCGATTCATCTGAAAATATCCATACGGGGTTTTGGGGTTTTGGGGTTTTGGGGTTTTGGGG